CGCCTGCTCCGCCGCGGGTTTCCGCGGGCGCCCCCTCCGCGCCCGGGCCGCGCACAGCCCTGACGTCTCCCGCCCCACGTCGCCCGCCGCCCGGCGTTCGCTGGGGCGAGCCGGGCGCGGATTGGCCCCGAGCCGCGGGAAGTGCCCGCCCCCCCCCGGGCCGCCGGCCAATGGGGAGACGGGGGCGGGCCGGCGGCCGGCGCCGGAAGCGGCCGAGCGACGAGGGGACGTCGCGTCGCCGGGTCTCGAGCAGCTGCCGCGGAGCCGCCGGACGGACCGCCGGACCTGCCTGCCCGCCATGGCCGAGAGCGACTGGGACACGGTGACGGTGCTGCGCAAGAAGGGCCCCACGGCCGCCCAGGCCAAGTCCAAGCAGGTGCGGCGCCGTGCGGGCCTCGGGACTCGGGGCGGCCGGGCGGGCGGGGCACGCGGGGCGGGGACGCGGGGCGGGGCCGGGGCTGGGGGGCCGGGGGTGCGAGCGGGAGCTGGGGGCGGGGCGGGGCCGGGGTCCGAGGTGGGGTCCCGGGATGAGGGTGGGGACCGGGGCTGGGTAGGCCAGGGGCCGGGGGACCAGCCAGGGGCCTGGGTGAGGGTATAGCGCCAGGGATGGGAGACAGGAGACCAGAGCAAGGAAAATGGCCGGGCGGGGACAGTGTGCGACAGAGGTAGGGTGGGGGAGAGGGCGAGGGACCAGAGAGAAGGAGGGGCCGGGGCAGGGTATGGGAGGACTGGTCGGGGTGCTGGGAGGACAGGGGGAGGAAAGTGGTGGGGGCGAGGACCGGCTGGGCCAGGATGGGTCAGCGATACAGGCCTGGCAGGGAGGCCCAGGTAAGGGCCCAGGTCGTAGAGGCTCTGGATGGGGACAGGGTGGACTTGTGGCCAGTGACAGCGGGGATGGGGCAAGCAGGGGCCCAGGGCAGGTTTGAGGGGGACCTCGGAAGGGACTGGGGTGCAGGCAGTACGGGCACACCCAAGGTCTCCTCTGCTGGTGCCTGGCCGGGCTGAAGCTGGCTGTGGAGCGTCACTGAGGCCCGTTTGGGGTTTTAGGCAGTCCCTGTCCCTGCGCTGAGGTGGCCTAGAGACCCAGGGCACAGGTGGACTCTGCTTCTGGGTCATTGGAGTGTAGGTGACATGCCTTGAGAGGGACAGAAGGTTTGTAGCTTGGCTAATCTATCCACAATTCACATGTGAGCCCAATGTAAGTGTGGAGGGGCGGCTCAGTGACCACCCCTGCTGAGTTTCTACCCTCAGGAGGCCTTGGGCCTGCACCCGCCTGCCAGGTCTGGGCCAGGACTAGCTGCAGCCCCGGAGATTGGCATTCACTGACCTGCTCTGAGCTGCTCGTTTGCAGGGTTAGAACCCACTTCACTGTCCTTTTTTTCCCAAGGAAACTTGACAGTCACAAGCTAGGAGTGACGTGAACACGGGTAGAAAGCACCTTTGAATGTAGCACCCATAGCTCGGCCCCAGTCTCTTCTCTGAGGCGTCAGAATCGTCAAGAAATACATCCTACTAACGTCTGGCAGATGGAGGTCACAGGGTGTTGGTCTTGTTGGCAATGTTTGGGGGCGTGGGTTGTGGTTCTGTGCAATGCGCGGCCTTTGTGTTGTTTGTGCAGGAGTAGATCTGTCGTCATCACAGGTTTCTCAGCAGCGGAGAAGCGGGCTGGGTTTTCCTTCGTAGCACCTCGTGGACAGGTGCCTGGGTATCTGATGGCAGAGGGTTTGTGTGCTGAGCTTGGGTTGTAGACTTGGCCTCGCTTGTCAGTCTCGGACAAAGCTTCAGGGCACGAGCTCCGGGCCAGGCCGCCTGGGCTGCAGAGGCCCCGGATGTTCGCGGCGTACTGACCCGCTGACAGCAGCCTGCACGGGTGTCTGCAGGCGTTGCCACATCTGGTTTTAACCAAAAACCGTGTCCACGCTTTCCAGGCCATCTTGGCAGCTCAGAGACGAGGAGAGGATGTGGAGACTTCCAAGAAATGTAAGTAGTTGTGCTTCCTCACGGAACGGCGGCGTGCTCTCGGGTTCTCCCTGCAGCAGGAGAGAGCACACCCACCGTGCCCCGGGGTGTGTCGGGACGGCTGTCGGCCGTCCTGGGCGGCCAGGTGGCGGCGGCCACCCTGGGCGTAGTCAGGAGGGGACTGACCAGAAGATTTGGTGCCCCGTGCTTGTAAGCCCGCGGGGTTCCCTGTGTTTTGGGTGCCTGGCTTCCCAGGTCACCCTGGCACAGGGTGCCTGTTGGGCCTGGTTTCCATTCCGAAATGGCTTTCTTTTGGGTTTGTGGCAAACCCTGTGCTGCGCTTTTGCCTCGTGCCGGTCCAGGGGCCGCTGGCCAGAACAAACAGCATTCGATCACCAAGAACACGGCCAAGTTGGACCGGGAGACTGAGGAGCTGCACCATGACCGGGTGACCCTGGAGGTGGGCAAGGTGATCCAGCAGGGCCGGCAGAGCAAGGGGCTGACTCAGAAGGACTTGGCAACGGTGAGCATGGCAGGTCCCTTCCTCCCTGGCTGTGGTCGGGCAGGCGGGAGGTCGGTGTTCAGAAGGCACTGCAGCCCAGCTTCGGGAGGCTTCTGTTTGCCCTTGGCCTTCTCTGGGGAAGCCGTATCAGGCCAGCTGTCACTTTCTCGTGCATGTGACGTGGCTTCTGTCGTGCCTCTGAGGACTGCCCCCCATCAGGCCCTTGGCCCACGTGTTGTCCCGGAATGTGGTGACTGCCCTGGCTCTGGGCTAGTTTTGTGGTCTCCCCTTACTGAACTGCTGTGCACAAAATACATCTCTAGAAAATCAACGAAAAGCCGCAAGTCATCGCAGACTATGAGAGTGGACGGGCCATTCCTAATAACCAGGTTCTGGGCAAAATCGAGAGAGCTATCGGTGAGTGTCCTGTAGCCTTTAACGGGTCTCTGCTGCTGCTGCCTGACCAGGTGCAGGGCAGCCACCAAGCCCGGGAAGGCCCCCGAGGTTGCAGAATTCTCCAGGCCCTTAAGAGGCTCCTGAGTGCATTGCCTGAGTGTCGTCCGCTCCCCAACCCTGGCTTTCACGTTTCCTCTACCCCCCCCTTTGTTGCTGGCCAGCGCCCTTTGAGCCCATGGACAGAGGGCTCGGTGGCCCTCCCCTGGTGTCAGTGAGGCACCCAGCACGTGGAGCTCCTGAAGCGCTGGAGCCCGAGTTCTGGGAGGGGCTACCCTGGAAGGTTAGCAGGTGCACTGACAGTGGGCTGAGCCCAGCCAGGACTGGTGGGGGGCAGTCTTCGGCCTCCCTGCTCTCCCCGCCATTCCTTCCTGTGGAGGAAGGGGGCTGATGGGTGGGGGCACCGTGGCACCGTGCTGCCTCTCGGTCCCAGAGTGGCCACTGTGGCGGTGAGTGGGCCAATGGCTCTTTCAGGCCTCAAGCTCCGGGGGAAGGATATCGGGAAGCCGATTGAGAAGGGGCCAAGGGCGAAATGAACACAAAGCCTCGAAATCAGTGCGTTCCGGCTGATCTCGTCTGGCTGGTTCCCCTTGACCACCAGCGCCAGCGTGGGTCTCTTCACGCGGCCGAGCGGAACGCGGGGCGTTAGCCCTGCCCAGGAACCCCCTCAACCCATACCTGCTGTCAAACAAACGAAACCTTGCAAAGTATTGCTTCTCCTGATTTTTTTTCCTTCCCATCTCCGGTGTCTGCCCAGTCTCAGGGTGGCTCCCTGGGGAGCTCTGAGTGGGACCACCTCACGCTGGCGGGGCTGTGGGGTGGGGCGGCCTGATCAGAAGAGAAGATGCCGTCTCCAGTCCGGCTTTTAGAGAAGCCAATAAACGATTGTTGTCCTTCCTGCTGGTGGAGAGTCATTGCTGTCCAGCGCGGTCTGCCACGCCCCCAGCGCACCTCTCTGGCCCACAGAGTAGGGAAGACATGGTTTTCGTGACATGCCCCGGGGTGCCTGAGGGACCGTGAAGGTCACCTCTGCAGCCCTGCTTCCTTATTACTGGCCGCTGGGACAGTTCACGGGCACGGGCCTCTGGGCTCCAGACCCATGTGCTCCCCTGGCTTGGAGTCTCCAGTGGGCCGGGATGGCAAGGCAGGGGAGCCTTCCTGCAGGCAGGCGGGGAGCACCTGGCTGTGTGGGTGCGGATGTCACCTGCCCCCTCCCCAGGACAGCATGCCCGGGGGACCCTCCCCGGGTTAGAAGGATTCTGCTCTGTTTTATTAGGCAGGGAGGACAACTCAGAGACGGGGGTTGCCTTCATCCTCAGAGCCCGGGACGTCAGTGGCCTGCTCAGCAGCATCACGAGGGTCCGAGTGACCTCTGCTTTGAGACACGTCATTCTGGGGGCCGCTTGGATTTTACCGTGGGATGGTGGACACGGGAGCCCTTACGACACGGGATATTTACCATGGGACAGTGGACACGGGACCTTTATTTAGAACCGTAGACACAGCAGAGCACCCCCGCTCAGACCAGCTCTACGCCACCTTACACCTGGTTAAGTGTTTGCTACTCGGTCTGTCACCTGTACCTGTCCTAAGTCAGATGCGGAATCACCCAGCAAGGCAGGGGCTGGACAGGGCTTGGGTCAGGGTCCCACAGGGTGGGCTGGGCCACCTGAGTGTTGGGGTGCCCGCCGGGCCTGGGGCAGGGGCTTGTCAGGGCCCCTCTGTGTCTGTCTCTGGTGTCTCTAGCCCTTGGTCCTGCCTGGTGTGACCTGCCTGTTACCTGTCGCCTGAGTCGCTGAGACATGTGGGAGGTACCCCAAGCACATCCTTTCAGCTGGGGATCTCCAAGAGCCCACCTTCCTGCTGACAGCAGGATGCACAGACCTCGGCTAGTAAGTGGGGGTGTCCTCACAGTCCAGGGCATTTATTGGTGGTGAGGACCATCCCCAGGTACGTGGCCGACAGTCTCTGTGCCGGCTGACAGCTCGGGGGCTCAGTGCGTCCTGGGGGAGGGGCAGGTGTTACTCCCCGGGCTGGGGGCCCGGCGGGGTGGGGGATGCTCGTGTGGGGAGCCAGTCTGGGTCATCTACTGGTGGCCAGAGAGCGAAGCTGGCAGGGTGACGCAATCCTAGGTGGGAAGAGGGCACTTCTGAGAGGTGGGTGACGGAGGCAGCCACACATGCCGACAGCCCCGGTGGGGCAGCGCAGGCCAGGAGGGGGTTCTCCACGGTCTCCCCTGCCCGCCTGGCCCCACCCAGGGGCTCCTTACCGCATTGAAGACAATGTTGTCGAAGCCCGGGGCCGTGGCCGCCGTCTCGCCCCGGGACGGGCAGCCCCCCTTCTTCTGCAACCAGTGCCGTCCCCCGAGTCCAAGCAGCACCAGGAGGACGAGGGCCAGGAGGGTGCTGCCGACCACGGTTGGCACCGACGTGGCCAGTGCCGTTTCCCCTGTGGGCAGTGGGGCATGTGAGCCCCAGGACTCGAGCCCTGCCTGTCAGCCCTACCCCGATGGCCAAGGACACGGGATGGCCCGTCCTGGAGGCCCCAGTAAGTTGAAGGCTGGGGACCTGGCAGGCAGCTGCTCTGTTCAGACCTGGGGCGGTCACAGCCCCAAACTAGACCCGCCCCTTTGTCATGAAGATACAGCAGGCTGGCAGTGGTCTCTGGCCTGACCGGGCACCTCCTCCAGGGCCAGTCCCCCCACACCCAGCCCCCCAGGAGTGACAGCATGCAGTGCAGAGGCCAGGACGGGGCTGCAGACCCGGCTCAGCTCCCGAGGGACCAAGGACGAGGGGTGGCCCGGCCCCGAAGGGGAGGAGACGGGGCGCCTGGGGGGCTCCGTCAGTTAAGCGGTTCTTGATTTCAGCTCAGGTTCTGATCTCGAAGTCATGGGGTCAAGCCTGGCATCAGGCTCCTCACTCAGCGGGGAGTCAGCTTGAAAGATTCTCTCCCTTTGCCCCTCCCCCCCACTCACCCGCTCTTGCACGGGCTTGTTCTCTCAGTTAAATAAATAAATCTTTAAAAAAAAAAAAAAAAAGAAGGGGAAGGGACAGTGGGGTTAGGGAGGGGACGGTGCAGGGCCCGGCCCGGGTGACTCTCCTGGCCTCTCGGGCCAGAAGCAGGGCCACTGGCAGCCAGGTGGGCCGCGAGCTGCTGAGCCCTTGGAGGCCCAGATCCCGAGCAGGGCTGGCTGGCCTGGGCAGGGCTCACCCTGGCTGAATGTGGGCGGCTGGCAGTGCTGCCCAGCCAGATACTCCACGTCGTCCAGGGCAATGGGCCCCAGGGCTGGCTGGCCGCTTAGAGTGGCTTCAAACACGACCTGGCGAGGAGGGGGAAGGGGTTGCGTGGGCTGGAGGACGGCCCTGCCCGAGGCCTCGGATCCCCAGCTCTGGGCCGCTGGGCCTCACCTGGAATTCCTCAGCACTGGCCACCTGCACCCGGCCTTCCAGCCACTGGTGCCGCAGGGGCCCGCCCGTGCTCCACACGGTCAGCTGGCCCCGCTCGCTGTTGAGGAGCACCCTCAGCTCACCCTTGTCTGCAAGCAGGGGGGGCCAGGGCGGGTCAGTGCCCCAAGCCCGTGGGGCAGGGCTGCCCCCGGCCCTGGCTCCTTCCACCACCCAGGCGCTGGCGGCCCGGCCCCACTCACAGAAGTGCTCTGGAAAGCCCATGTGGTACCAGAAGCGGAGGCAGGAGGCCTTGGTGGGGGGCAGAGGCTGGCTACGCAGCCAGGCTGCCCGGCCCCCTGGGCCCAGCACGCCCGTTTCAAAGAGAACGAAGTGGCCTGGAAATGACAGAGGGCAGGGCTCCAGACTAAGTGGATGGAGTTGACCCCCTCGACCTGTGAGCTTTGAGTGCGACGGGAGCCTGGATGGGCTGGGCTGGTGGGCCCCTTCCCCAGCTCAGACCCACCTGCTTCTGTGCCCAGAGTGTGGTCCACAGGGGGCTGGAGGTAGCGAGAAGGTGTGGCCCCACTGCTCCAGTCCCAGCTATACCCTCCCAGGCCGGGCCAGGGAAGATGGCTCCAGCCACACAGGCCGGCCTCAAAGTCACAGGAAGCTGCAAGAAACCTGAGCAGGTGAGCAGGGCTGCCCCCACTCCCCCTCTCTATTGCAGGGGCATCCCCGCTGCTGGGGCCGGGGCCTGGGCCAGGCATCTTGGGGTTGGCATGGAGCTGGTACCGGCCATGAGTCATAGCAGGTGCCGGGCCCAGGCCGGGGGGCTCCCCACCTGGCCGGGGGCAGGGCCCGTCCTGGAGCAGCAGGTCGTCCAGCGCAACATAGGAGTGCTCCACGCCGGCGGCCACCACCTCAAACACCACCTGGGCAGACACAGGGCAGGGTTGCCTCCCGCATGGTCTGGACAGCCCTCGAAGGTGAGAAGGCCATCTGCCCCACACACTCACCCGCCAGGCTCTCTCAGCCTGCACATCCACACTTCCCAGGCGCCAGGCAAACCCTCCGTGGGCACGGACGCTGAGCACCTGATGCCTCTCAGCCTCCTCCACGTGGACCTGCAGGGTGCCTGCCACACCACGTGGCCAGCCTCGGTCAGCAGCAGCGGGGGAGGAATGGCCACTCGGGGGATCCCAGGCAGCCTGCGCACGGGGGCCTGTGGAGACCCTGCAGCCCCTCACCTGGGTTTCTGAGGCTCAGGTGGTACCAGAAGTTCAGGCAGGCAGGCTGGGCCAGAGGTGGGTGCTCCTCTGAGGTCAAGGAGGCCACGTGGCCACGGGGCAGGGCCTGTGGGCTCGTGTCCACCACCATGTAGTGCCCTGGGAGGTGCCAGTGTCAGCCTGTGTCTGCCTCCCCCTGCCTCCCCCTCCTCACCCCTGCCGCGTACCCTGAGCCGTCTCTGTGGTGTGGTCAGTGCGGGGGCCCCAGGAGGCGTGGCCCGTGGCATTGGCCTGGCGTGTCCAGAGGCCTTGGCCCCCACTGGAGAAGCCACAGGCCGAGTCCTCGAAGGAGCACTGCCTGGGGGCCCAGCAGGGCCCGGGCCGCACGGCCACGTCGTCCAGTGCCATGGTGCCGTGGTAGCCGTCACGGAGGCCCTCGAACACCAGCTGGGGGCAGAGGGCGTCAGTGGCTGGGGGCCTGGCCCGCCCCCCCCCCCCCGGTGTGGGGCCTCACCTGGTACTTGGCGCCAGAGCCTGACTGGTGGTGCAGGGTGGCCCAGGCCTCGAGCCAGCGGTTGCCATGGGCGCCGGTCCGTGACCACAGGACGGTTTCTGGCTCCCCTTCCCGCCTCACTGCCAGGCGCAGTGTCCCTAGACGCAGGGGAGGGTAGGAGGGGACCAGAGCCCCACTCCTGGTGGCTTCCCACCCCTCCTTGGGGGCTCTGGAGAGACAGAACGGGGAGCCCCTGCCCAGCACCAGGGTCACTCACCGATCTGGGGCCCGTGGAGGTGGTACCAGAAGGAGAGACACTCCTGAGGGGCTGCTGGGGCCTGGGGCTGGGTGAGCAGGTGGGCACCAGGGCCCCGGGCCGGGGGGTCCATGGGGTCCAGGAGCAAGAAGTAACCTGCCGTGGGGACACAGGGCTGAGCTGCAGAGATGCCAGCGTCCGGGAGGGGCTTGGCCCGGGGTGGGCGTGCTCCCCTCCACCCGCCCTGAATCCGAGAGCTGCTCCCCGGGCTTGGGTACCCCCATGCTACCTTGGCCCGTGGTGTGGTCGTACCCGGGGCCATGGCTCTGGATCCGGCGCCAGTGGGCATCTGTGAGGTGGCCGCTGTGCCAGCCGCAAGTGTCCCGCTCAAAGTTACAGGAGACCTCTGAGGGTGGGGCGGTGGGGGGGTCAGTACACCCCAGCACTGCCGGCCCCTCTGAGTCCTGAGAGGGTGGAGACTTGTCCTCTGGGGCGGGGGCTTCCAGGGGTCCCTCTAGGTGGTCTGGGTGGGAGGCCCTGGGTAGGGACTGGGACCTGAGTCCTTCTCCGTGGCGGTCACGGGGCTGCAGTCCTTCAAGGCCACATTATCCACTCCAGCTCTCTGCTGGCCGGGGCCGTCCAAGTCCACCAGGCCAACAAACTCCAGCTTCATAAGGAGCACAAGGGAGGGGGCTATTAAGTCAGGGCTGGCTCGGTGAACCCCCTGCCCCCCAGGCTGCACTCCTCACCCGGAAAGGCCGGCGGCGCGCCCCGAGAAGGACTGTGTCCACCTTCCAGCCCCTGCTGCCGCTCGGGGCTTGCCACACCAGCTCACGCCTGCTGCCGTCCACCACGACCAGGGCCAGGAAGCCTGGCCCAGAGGGTTACGGTGGGTCCACCTGGCCCGCCCCACCGCCACCCTCCCGCAGGGCGCATCGGGGAGCTCTTGTCAGCCTCAGGGCGGTACCTTGGGGGTAACTGTGGAAATAGTAAGCCATGCGGAGCTCACAGCGGGGGCCGGAGGGGCCCAGGGGAGGAGTGAGGACCCGGGCCTCTGCCGCCAGCTGTCCCCAGGCCCTCTGCAAGGACAGGAAGTGCCCTGAGGAAGAGCAAGTCCTCTGAGAGCCAGTTCCTGCCAGAGACCCCCGACACAGACACATCCCCTGGTGCGAAGAGGCAGAGCACAGAGCCCTCTGCGGGCACGGTGCGCAGGCACGGGCCTCACCAGGAGCAGCGCCGCCGGCATCCGAGCCAGGGTCTCTGCTCTCTTGGGCGCGGAGACGCCCCCACTGCAGCCGCCCCACACTGGCATCCTCCCAGCCCCCGGCCGTGGGGGGCTCGAAGTCTGTGCTGCCTGGAACGGTAGCCAGTGCTGAGGGGCAGCGGGGAGAGGGCCGATGAAGAGGGCCCC